CCTCATGTCTATTTATTCCCTGACCTTTGATATCTATTCAACCAATTACTTCTACAGGTTTTGTTTTAGAGAAAGCATGCTAATTTAAAAATCATCTGTATATAATAAAACTCTTAACAATATTTTGTAGATAAGTAAGAATTTATGATTTAGACCTCTAAGTTATAGCAGTTGCCCAGACATTACCCGAGGTGACATAAAATTGAGAAGATCCATAACTGAGAAAATGAAAGGGGGGTTCAAGGGGTCTGGGATGATGCTGGAGCCCTGGCACTGTCCAGCTTTGGGAAGGAGTGAAGGGCTCTAGGACCCTGCCAGAGCCAGGAAGCTTCCGTCCCACAGCCAGTGTGTTAACAGCTTTCCTTCACAGGGTGCTGAGCCGAGGTAGAGCAAAATTGAGAAGAATTGAAAATATTCATTTGAGGGTGCCAAACAGTGGCCTTGTTAAAATTACCAAAGTCCGGTCATTTTATCCATATCCGTCTTTGGGAGTAGGGAGCAAGGGTTCTGGGATGCTGCTTTTGAGTTAAAAGAATTAAACTGTTGTCCTGTTATTTAAGTCTCTTTCCTCCCTTCTCCCCTGCATCTGTCTGTTTCTCCTTCACGTCTATTAGGAGACTTTCTCTCATCTTTGCCTTCGATATCTGTGCTACAGGTTTTAGAGTTTTAGGAAAGGTGTGATACTTTAAACAATATCTGAATATAGCTGAAGAATCTTGTTAAACAGGTTAAAACATTAGCAGGGTTGGAGTAAATTCAGCAGTTTAAAGTATATAAAGATATGATGAGGAGGGAGGAGAACAAAACCTATAGAGTAATCAGAATATGCAGCCATAGTGGGTAAATATATAGAACCACGGAAGTGTGGGGGGAAGGAAGTCAATGATCATGATTGCATGGGCAAAAATGTTCCTCTTTAACCAGATCTTTGGCTGATTGATATCCAATGCCCTTTTAAAATGTGTTTGGGGAGGGTGGGTTTATTGGGTTGCTTTATTTTGTGTTTTAATATTTTGGGTTTGTGTTGTAACTACCCTGAGACCTTGCAGGTATAGGGCAGTATACAGATTTTAACAACAACAACAATGGCAGCCTGGTTCGTCACTGTGAGAACAGGATGCTGGACAAGATCGGTCCTTTGACCTTGTCCAGCATGACACTTCTAATGATGGGAAGACCATTGAAGGCTTTGCAGGGTAAGAAATTTGGGCAGGAAGTCAGTTTAGGAGGGATTTCCAGATTAACAAGAGAGATGATGAATGCAATGCCATGTTGGTCCTTCCCCCTCCCCCCATTTTTTTCTTGTTTCTTAAAGAGTAGTTTAAACTGCATCTCTGCACTCACGAATGCAGCATCACTCTCATTATGTCATTTTAGATTAAAATTGAACTCCCAATCCACCTCCATCAAAAGCATCACCTGCTTTTCACCTTCTATCATGTCAGCTGCGAAATTAACACAAAGGGGACAGCAAAAAAGCAGGATGCCGTGGAGACAACAGGTAGGCTCACAACTTGAACCCGCGCCTTTGTTCTCCCCACCTCCCACCCAAGCAGTCTGTATTTGGTAGATCCAGGAAGCATGAGGTGTGTCAGAAAGGAGTTGTCCTATCCATTCCATGGACCACCACCACCATTGTCAAGTGCCCGTCTCTTGTTTCAGTTTCACATACTAAAAGACTGGATACCTGCCCTCCTGTTCCTCACCTGTCTTTCTAGTGTGAAGGTGGTTAGCTTAAAACTGGGCCATGTATTTTAGGCATTGGGAAAAGCAAAATGTGAAATGATTCTTAGAAATAGCTGTGTCTTGCCAAGCAAAAATGTGTTAGTTACCCTATTATTGCCTCCCCTCACCTTACAAGATGACATTTTTTGACAGAGTGTCTCACCAAAGACTGTGTAAGCATAGCAGTCATGGGATAAGAGGAGAGGTCGTCCTGTGTATCAGGAACCGATCACGAAACAGCAAGCAGAGAGGGGTAATGAGTGAATAGTTCATGTAGAAAGTGGAGTCCCCCCACAGACAGATACTTTCCAAGCATTCATAAATGATCCAGTTAGAGGTGAATAGTGAGGTAGCCAAGTGGTTAAAACAAACAGAGATCTCAAGGAGCTCAAAAAGGACCCTCTCCAAGCTAAGTGAATGGGTGATGAAAGGGCAAATGCAATTCCATTTTAGCAAATTAAAAGAAGGGAAAAAATGGGTTTGTTTCCAGTAACATATAAGTGATTCCCAAAGCAAGTTCATGATCATGATTCTACCTACATGCTAAAAAGGATGCTTACACAGCTGTGTGCATTGCTGTCTCTGCAGTTGGGTTTACTTGGCTGCCTTTGCTGAAGGATGGCCGGATCATCACCTCTGAGCAGCACTTGCCTGTTTCAGCCAATCTGCCAGCAGGCTACCTGAGTGTCGGGGATTCTGAGGCTCGAAAGGTAGGGAGACCTAATAAGTGAATCTGAGGGCATGGACTGTATTTTACCTGTGCTGATATGCTGTGTGTCTTCCATGCACCTAAGAAGGTACACCAAATGAGCTTGCAAATGATGTGGTGTGCAATTCATCATCTGAGGACATCACCATTCCTTTTTAAAGCAAGATTCAAACTCTCTGTGTCCTGCTCATTAGGATCCCATCCCCTCAGACACGCCCCCCCCATCAACTGACAATTTGCGCAAGCAGAATGCATTAGGTAAAGCCAAGGCAAAAACTTAATTTGCATAATTATTCTGACCAGAAATCATTCAGACTTCTTAACTGCAGGATTAGGGGTGCTGGGTTTTTGTTGTTGTTCAAAACACACGTTATAACATGATGGTCCAAGTCAGGGGCACCTCAATCATTAATACAATTTGATGTCTGCCTTTGTGAATGGATCTGCAGTGGAGGAGCTCACTGGGAGGTTCAGTCATTGCAACAACCGGGACCCTAAACTTATAGTAGTAGTAGTATGAATAATATTGTAGTGCCAAGTTACCGTATTTTTCGCCCTATAGGACGCACTTTTCCCCCTCCAAAAATGAAGGGGAAATGTGTGTGCATCCTATGGGGTGAATGCAGGCTTTCACTGAAGCCTGGAGAGCGAGAGGGGTCGGGATGCACCGCCCCCACTCGCTCTCCAGGCTTCGCGCACCTCTACGCAAGCCGTGGGAGCCCGGCTCCTGGCTCCCACGGCTTGCAGAGAGTGGCCTGCATGCTGAAGCCTGGGCGCGCTGAGCTCAGCACGTCCAGGCTTCGTGCAGCTCTCCGCAAGCCGCGGGAGCCCGGCGCCAGGCTCCCACAGCTTGCGGAGAGCTGCCGGTTCTGGGTGCTGGGGTCGCGGGAAGCTCGGGCTTCCCCAGCCCTGCGCCTGGGGGGGAAATAATTTTTCCCCCTTTATTTCCCCCCCCCCAAAAGTAGGTGCGCCTTATGGGACGGTTCGTCCTATAGGGCGAAAAATACGGTACTCACTTAGCAGTATCCTCAATCCACTGGCAAAATGCTTTGCGCTAGCCAGGAGAACTGGCTTGCCCCCACTATTGAGGGGGCTGACATCTGATGTCATGCATCATGTCACAGAACGCACTGATGTAGCACACATCATGTTGTGCAACACACTGATGTGGTATGCCACATCGCCGCTCAATATTGACGGGGCCTGGCGCCCTCCTGGGAACCTCGGGTGGCGGGGGGGGGAGTGCGTCAGCCCTCCCTAGCTGGCACAGCAGGTGCCCGCTGACAATAATTTCGCAAGAGAATGCATGAGCAGGTTGCTAATAACTTCGTGGTGCAATAGACAGCAGAATCTGTCATGCAACAAGTGCAGCAGTTGCATTGGAGCCCACTGTTGCATAGTATTAAAACTTGCCCATCTGCTAGCACTAACAGGCAGAGATGGATGGATACAAGCAAACAGGAGGCTCGTCTCAGCTCCCCTATGTCCTACCCCTTTTGTGGGAAACTGCAATCTCTGAAGAGGCCAGCCCTCCGGCCTGAAGAGTGAAGGCAGTAATTCTGTACCCCATGGACTACCCACAGATTTTTGGATCCAAAATCTACTGAAAAAGATTGAGATACCAAACTACAGTTTGAGGATTGTGTCAAATTCTCCCCGCCACCAACACTTTCTTTCAATCTTCTTCCTGAATTTTGTGCATGAAGATGACTTTTTTATACTTTTTCGTGCCGGGCTGAGCAAAGCTGCCTTGCGAGGTGAACTGAACCTCTTTAGCCAAATTCAAACGTGACACTTTCTCCTCTTCTCTCTCCCACCCTCACTTTTGTTGCAGCCAAGTATTGATGTTAAATGGGTTGATGGGGCAAAGGCTCTCTTCAAGATCAAGCTCCATTTGGAGTCAACCATTTACACCCAAGTAAGTGCAACTCAGCCTTTGCTTGATGGGTTCTTTTTTTTAAAAAAAAAATGAAGGATCCATAACCATTCTAAGGGTAACTATTGAAAATGAAGTGGCATTTTTTCCATCTTATAAGGCTTGGGTGGGAAAATTCCACATTTGGCCCTTGGGGTGCTCTGGAGGCCACAGCTCCACAAGCCACCTCTCCTCCACAGGCCATGCCCCTTCCCTCAGCCTCGGCAGGAACGACAACAATAGTTCCTCTTGCCTGCCTGCCTAGAGAGATGTATGCCATCTTGTGTGCTTAGGAGCCTCCAAACCTTTGTGAGGCTGGACTGCATTCCATCTGAATAGCCTTCTCTGCATTCCTTCAGGGTGGTTTAATCATATTAGTCCATTTCTGTAGACCAATAAAATGCCAAGTACACTGTAGTTGGTTGGAGGCAGTCATGCTTCTGTGCACCAGTTGCTGGGAATCACAGGTGGGCAGGGTACTTTTGGGTTTCCCATAGTCATCTTGGCTGGCCAAGATGTTCTGAGATGTTTCCTTCAAAGCATAGGAACATAGGAAGCTGAGTCACTGGTCTATCTAGCTCAATGCTGTCTACTCTGACTGGCAGTGGCTTCCTAGGGTTTCAGGCAGGGGACATTCCCAGTCCTCCCTGGAGATGCCACTGGGGATTAAACCCAGAGGCCTTCTACAGGCAAAGCACATGCTCTACCATTGAACTATGGCCCTTCCTCTGCAGAGGAACACAGGAAGCTCCCTTATACTGAGTCACAAGATTCGCCCATCTAGATCTGTGCCATCCACACTGGCTGGCAGTGGCTTTTCAGAGTTTCAGGCAGGGGACATTCTCAGCCCTACCTAGAGATGTCACTGGGGATTGAACCTTTGGCATGCAAGGCGGATGCTCTACTACTGAGCCACGGCCCTTCCCTTGGGCAATTGCCACTTTGAGGTGGCATGGGAGATGCCACTGTGTGCCCTGTAGGCTCCGTCAAGAACCATCTGCCATGTCTGAAGGCTACTGGTCTTGGGTGAAAATCAGTGGGATGAATAAGGCACAAGAGAAGGCTGTGAACTGAGCTTCTGTGTTCCTTTCAGGATCTCCACCTCCATAAATTCTTCCAGTATTGCCAGATGATTCAAGCAGGTGCCAAAGAAGTCCCAGGAGAACTTGTTAAATATCTCAAGGTGAGCTGGAACGGTTCCTCTGGCCCGTCCATGAGCACCCAACACTAATGGGGTCCCCCTCCTGCAGAATGTGGATGTGCGCTTCAATCTGGGTTCTAGCTTATCGTTGATTTTAATTATTTTTGAATTTTTTTAATAGTCCAGCTCTTTTTTCCTGGCAATTTCATTTTTTTCTCCATATACCGCTTTGTGGTTTGTTTGTTTGTTTGTTTGCTTGCTTGCTTGCTTGCTTGCTCACTGTCAAGTGGTACATAACTTTTGTGAAATAAAAATAAAGTATCTATTTTATTATACTCATTTGCCCAGGCTTTCCCTGGCCCCTTATTACTGTACTCTGCCACTGCTGAATTTCTGTTTTTATCTGTTTTCCTAATACTAGTTTTACTGGTTTATTAATGTTGTGAACCTGTGTGTATGACACTGGCTTTCATGTTGTGTCTTTGCATACTGCCTAGAGGATTTAAAATACAAATTTTACAATTTACAAATGCTTTTAAAATAAACGCGTGTGTTTCAGTGCCTACATGCCATGGATATCCAAGTGATGATACAGTTTCTGCCTGTGGTCCTTACGCAACTCTTTAGAGTCCTCACCACCCGGACACAAGAGGAAGAAATTGCTGTCAACTGTACCATGTAAGTTTTTGGTGATAGTATACTGTTTGTCATAGATCAGTGAAGCCATAATCCCAAGCTTTGAGAAACCCACATTGTTAGAGTCTGCAGCAGAGTCAGTGGGTGGGGCTTGCTGCCTTTCACGTCTCCCTCGAATGCAACCCCATGGATTGGCAACTGATGGGGACATTTTTGTGGTGGGGGTGGGAGGAGCCAAAAAGGCATCTTGGCTGATGGAGGTGGTCTGGCTGCCTCACCTCTCCCCCAGGAGAGAACTTGGGAGTGTACTTACCCAATAAGTAGGTGGAGCTGCTTTTCCACAAGGAACATGCAGAAGCGGCCCTCCTACGCAGATCCTGCCTCACATTCAAACTTGCTGTTCTTCCTCAGGGTTCTCCTCCATATTGTGTCCAGATGCCATGAGGAAGGCCTTGACCATTACTTGAGGGCTTTCATAAAGGTAAGTGCTGGCTGCGGTTCTTAGGTTCTTATAAGAGGATTAAACAAATTTGTGGAGGAGAGCACCATCAATGACTGCTCTCTGCCTCCACAGTTGGGAGCAGTAGTGCTTCTGAATGGCAGTTTCTGGAAGACACAGGAGCAGAGAGGGCTCTTGTGCTCAAGTTCTGCTTTTCATAGAATCCTAGAATCATAGAGTTGGAAGAGACCACAAGGGCCATCGAGTCCAACCCCCTGCCAAGCAGGAAACACCATCAGAGCACTCCTGACATATGGTTGTCAAGCCTCTGCTTAAAGACCTCCAAAGAAGGAGACTCCATTGGGTTTCCCATTGGGGCATCTGGGTGGCCACTGTGAGAATAGGATGCTGGACTGGTTGGAATGCAGTCCATTCTTAGGTCCGTGTGTTCTGCCCCATCACCCTCTCCTTTGTGACTGGGGAGCCCTCTCTGATGATGTGTGACACACACTCTTTTTCAGTATTGCTTTCGGCCCGAGAAGCCTGTTGTGCCTCACTCAAAGACTACACACGAAATCTTGGCTGTCGCGATGGCAACAATTTTGAAGCAGTCGGCAGATTTCTTGGCCATCAATAAGATGCTGAAGGTGAGACAAGACAAGGCAGGATTTTATTTTCACCCACTCAGTGGAAGCTGGTTCATTAGTGTGAATGGGGCATTGCCCCACTAACCTCAGCCTGAGGGGGCACTGGCTGTTAGCTCCCTCTCCCTTAGTGTTGCCACTGTAGAACTCTGCAGAGCAGAGGCAGTTTTACGGTGGCACAACTGGTGTGGTCACACTGCAGGCGCACCAAAACATTGCTATAGAAGGGAGCATGAGAGGTGGGGGAGCACTGAATTTTAGCATTGCACAGGGCTCTGCTGAGATTTGAGAGCTCAAAGGCCGCCACGGTGCAGAGAGGAAGTGGAGGAGAATGGCAAAATCAGAATGGGTTAGCTCTGCTTTTCACTGGCTTTGGCGCCACCTACTGTTGGCCTCCCTGCCTTCCACCCTACCAGCTCCAATGGGCACATCCTGCCAGTGTAACAGCTAAGGCCAGTCTGGCCAAGGGTGCTGGGCTTGATCATGAAAGATGCATCCCAGCACTCATTGTGTGGCCATTGCCGATCCAGATTCTTCCAGGCTGAGAATCACTGTGATTTGCTCTTGCTTAGTGAATGTATCTCTGTGTTTCTCCTGGTTTATTCCAGTATTCGTGGTTTTTCTTTGAAGCTCTGGCCAAGTCAATGGCTATGTACCTTCTGGATGAGAACAAGATTAAGGTAAAGACAAAAGCAGCCGCTTCAGGGGGTGCTCAGCAAACGCAGTGCAATTATGCTTCCTCCAGCTCCACATCACAAATCTTCCTCCCAACATAAATGACAACTAGAAATATTGGGGAGAGGTGCGACTTTAGTTCCATTATTTTTAGGGCTGCAGCATCTCATCTTTAAATCAGGTAGATTAATCAGTTAATGCTTTGGATCAACTAGAAAGGTGTCTCCCACTTTAATATAGATAGATAGATAGATAGATAGATAGATAGATAGATAGATAGATGATAGATATAAATACAGATATATATAAAACCAAGTATATTTAAATGGAAGTCATTCTGTGGGAAGTGTCATGCACACTGTGTCAGATCATGGCTCCATCTTGCTCAGTATTGCCCACACTGACTGGCAGCCGTACCTGAAGAGGAAGGAGGTTGAGCCTGGAACCCTCTGTATGCAAAGCAGTTACTCTAATGCCTTCTAAGGCAAAAGCTGCTAAGACGTATCCCTGCAGCATTGAAGGAAGGATTCTTACTGCTTCAGGACTACCGTTTTAACCTATATGCCAGAGCTGAGGAACCCGTTGCCCTTCAGATGTTGCTGGACTCCAGTCCCATCAGCCCCTACCAACATCTCCAGTGGTTAGGGATAATGGAAATGGCAGTCCAGCAACATCCTGAGGGCCGCAGGCTCCTCACCCTGCCTTACAAAAATTGATTTGGTCCACTTTATAGACGGGTACAGCTCATGGTTATTATATTTGTTCAGGATTGCCCCAATATTACACCATGGTAAAAAGGAGGGGAGTGCTAATTAAAATTTCAATATATTTTACAAACAAACTTAAAAACAAAGCAGCCTGGGAAAACCGAAAACACAAATCCACTTTTGAAAAAGTGGATACTATTGGTGAGAGTCAGTAGTGGTGTATTGGCTAGAGCATTGGGCTGGGACCTGGGAGACCAGGGGTCAAATCCCTAACTCAGACATTAAGTTAATTGGCTGACCTTGGGCCAATCACTCACTCCCAACCTAACCTACCTCACAGGGCTGTTGTGAGGAAGAAATGGGGAGGAGGAGAACTGTGTATGCTGCCTTGAGCTCTTTGGAGGAAAGGGGGGGAGGATAAATGCAGTAAGTAATGCATCTTATCCTGCAAATGATAAAATGGTGCTCCCAGCCTTTTCCCAGTCTTTTCCTTGTTCTCATTCACATTGTGCCGCTTCAGCTCCCCAGGGTCCAGCGGTTCCCAGAGTCCTACAACCACGCCTTGCACTCTCTGCTCCTCGCCATCATCCCTCATGTGAACATTCGCTACAGTGAGATTACAGAGGAGTCCAGAAATGTCAATTTCAGCTTGGCCAACTTCCTGAAGGTTGGTAGTTTCTTTTGCTCTTTCCGTCCCCCTCAAATCCATACACACACACACACAATGAAAACAAGAACTAAGAATAACATCTTTGACCGTGTCTGAGGTGCAATCAAATCTGGAATACTGTGTTCAGCTTTTGGGCATCCCTGCTCATAAAAAAGAAAATGGTTGTAGCAGACTAAATTCTACTCAAGTGAAGACACATTGAAATTAATCAGCCTAAGTTAGTTATGGTCATTAGTTTCAATGGGTCTGCACTAATTATTGTTGGATACGAACCAGAAATTTTTGAATTGGAAAAGGTGCAGAAAAAGGGCAACCCAAACTGATGAAAGGGTTCAAACAAGTTCCTTATGGAGAGAAGCTCTAAGCCTTGGGGGTTTTAGTTTGAGGGGAGCAATTCATGAAGGAGTCAGGGATCAGCTTTCCCAGGCTTGGAATCTGGGGTCTCTTTAGAGGAGGAGCAAAGGGAGCAGGATCATGTAACAGAGGCCCACAACACCAGTAACCCCTGAGTAGTTGTCAGAAGGACCCCCCCATTCCAGCAACTGGTCTCTGCACCAGTTCCCTGGGTCCTTGGCTTGCTGTTGAGCACCACACCCACCCACCCACTCACTCACTCCAGGGACTCGAGAGAGACTGTGTGCCAAGCAGGATCTTCAGGACATGCAAAACTAGCCTCACATGAGTCTAGTTGGAAGGAGAGGAAGCACATGTAATAACCTCCTGGGCCCAGCTGAAGGGCCAGGAAGGGGTGGATCCACTAGATCTCACATATCTGAATGGAATAACTGCTGAAGCAATAGCTCGTTTAGAG